CCGCAGGATGCTCGTGGACCCCGACAGCGGGAAATGCTACTACATGGAGCCGCCGCGGCAGCCCCAGCTGAAAACGCTCTACGACCCTGAGACGGGGCAGTACCTGGAGGTGCTCGTCCCCCCGGTGGCATCACACGCCGGGCTCTACCAGGCTCCTTTCAACCCCCTGCTCGTGGCCCCGGGGGTCTACGCTCCACCCTACGTGCCCTACGGGGGCTTCCCGGGGCTCCCAGCGGCCCCGCCACCCGCAGCCCCCTCCCCGGCACACCCCGACCTGCCGGCTGCCGAAACCCCCGGCTTCTCCGGGACCTTCAGCCCTGCTCCCAAGGGCGAGGGGCCGCCCGCTGCCGGGGGTCCTGACTGCGGGTACCTGGAGAGCCTCTACTACATCCCCACGGGGATGCGGGCCAGCCCCGGCCCCGGGCAGCCCCCCGCCCACGCCAGCCCTGCCGGGCCAGAGAAGGACCCCCCCCTCCGGATGTGACCGTCCTCGGCTGGGGACAGACCCCCCCATGGCACGTCCCTTCCCAAGTGGCCGGTCTTGATCCCCAAAATCAGCATCACCCCAGCACAGGAGACACCTCCCCCCGGATCGTGACTGAAGCACCGAGGGGTAACGGGCATCAGCTGGACCTCATGGAAATGAGGAGAAAAAGGGTATTTTGCAGCGTGAGCACCTGGCAGCCCCTTGGGGGGAAGGGGGTTGAAGTCACGGGCCGTGGCCAGCACAGGGACCAGATGCACGGCCCCCACTTCCCCCTGCTGCTGGTCCTGTCCCGAGGGCCACCCGGGCTGGTGGGCACAGGGGAACGATGGCCCAGCCACCGTCAGCCCCCCACCCCCACCCCAGCCATGGGCTCCCTAAAACAGTAATAAAAATGCTGAGGCAGCGTTAAATCCTGCATATTCCTCCCGAGTTTGTGTAGTCTGTGAAGGGGGAGTGCGAGGGGCTGCAGTCCGTCTGTCTGTCCCAGAGCACCCACCGGATCAGTCCCTGGTCCCTGGGGCCAGGACAGGACTCTGTGGTCAACAGTGACCCCCCAAACCCCAGCCCCGAGCCCTAAAACCCAGGCTGAGCTCCAAAACCCAGCCCCTGAGCCCCAAAACCCAGCTCTGAGCCCCCATCCCTTGAACCCCAAACCTTCCCTGAACCTCAGACTTCAGCCCTGAGCCTCCAGTCCTCCTCCAGTCCTCCAGCCTCCAAGTCCCAGCCCTGAACCTTAGCCCTGAACCCCAAATTCCAGCCCTGAGTCCCCAGTCCTAAATCCCAAATTCCAGCCCTGAACCCCAAATCCTAGCCCTGACCCCCAGCCCTGAACCTTAAACCCCATCTCTGAACCCCAAATCCCACTCCTGAGCCCCCAGCCCTGAACCCCAAACCCCATCCCTGAATCTCAGCCCTGAACCTTAGACCTGAATCCCAAATTCCAGCCCGGAGCCTCGGTCTTGAACCCCAAATTCCAGTCCTGAACCCCAAATCGCATCCCTGACCCCCCAGCCCTAAATCCCAAACCCTGTCTCTGAACCCTAAATCCCAGCCCCAAACCCTGTCTCTGAACCCCAAATCCCAGCCCCAAGCCCCATTCCTGAACCCCAAATCCCAACTCCAAACCCCATTCTTGAACCCTGAATTCCAGCCCTGAACCTTAGTCCTGGACCCCACATTCCAGCCCTGAGCCCCCATCCTGAACCCCAAACCCCGTCTCTGAACCCCAAAACCCCAACCCCGGGGGGGTCCACCTCATCCCTGGGAGGATTTGGGTCCAGGAGCAGGGGTTGGGCGTTACCGGATGGAATTACACCCAAAACCACACGGAGAGGGGACAGTTGGTTGGGGACACCCCACACCCCGCCCCGAGGCCCCGGGGATGGACGTGGCGGCGTCAGCCGGATGCAGGTGCGTCGGCCGCGCATCAGCGCCCACTTGCTGGCCCGGGGGGGTTTATAGCCACCCTGCCCCCCCGCCCCGGCGCTCTCGGCACCGCGGCAGGATGCAGCGGGCGCTGGCGGCGTGGCTGGCCCTCGGCCTGCTGGCCGGGACGGGGGCACAGGAGATGTGCGGGGACCCCCCAACACGCTCCATCCCTGCCCCCCGGCTCAGCCCCGAGGAGCGGCTCTCCCCACACATGCCCGAGGCCCTGCGCTGCGACGCCTGCCACGCCATCGCCTTCCAGGTGGGCATCGGGGAGGCTGCACCCCGAAACCGGGGGTGAGAGACCTCGTGGGGGTGCTCTGGCTTGGGGACGTCCTCCTGGCTTCCCTGGGGCACCCCACTGATGGCTCTCCCCCCACCCCCAGCACCCCAAAAAGGCCCTCTGTGGGCAGTGAGCCCCCTGGCATGGACTATGCAGCGGGCGCTGGCGGCGTGGCTGGCCCTCGGCCTGCTGGCCGGCACGGGGGCACAGGAGATGTGCGGGGACCCCCCAACACGCTCCATCCCTGCCCCCCGGCTCAGCCCCGAGGAGCGGCTCTCCCCACACATGCCCGAGGCCCTGCGCTGCGACGCCTGCCACGCCATCGCCTTCCAGGTGGGCATCAGGGAGGCTGCACCCCAAAACCGGGGGTGAGAGTCCTCGTGGGGATGCTCTGGCTTGGGGACGTCCTGCTGGCTTCCCTGGGGCACCCCACTGATGGCTCTCCCCCCACCCCAGCACCCCAAAAAGGCCCTTTGGGGCCAGTGAGCCCCCTGGCATGGACCCACCACCCCATGGAAAAGTGCCGGGGCCTCAAGGAAGAGGATGTGGACCCGATCCCTGCTTGGGATCAGGGTCATGGTGGGGGGCTGCCACCCTCATTGTCCATTTTCTGCGCCCCCCCAGATCGAGGAGCAGCTGCGCAGGGCGGAGGGGAAGGCGGGCAGGAAGGCGCTGAGCGAGTCCGACTACGTGGAGGTGCTGGAGAGGAGCTGCTCGCAGGGCTGGGAGAGGTGAGTGGGGTGTCCCCAGGGATGGAGGGGTGTCCCCGGGAATGGGGGGTGTCCCCAGGGATGGAGACGTCCCCAGAAACGGGGTTATCCCAAGGGATGGAGACATCTGCAGGGATGAAGGTGACCCTTTGGACTAGGGCTCTCCTGAGGGATAGAGGTGTCCCCAGGGATGGGGGTATCTCCTTGGGTTGGGGGCATCTCCAGGGATGGATGTGCCCCCATGGACAGGGACCCCAACACGCTCCATCCCTGCCCCCCGGCTCAGCCCCGAGGAGCGGCTCTCCCCACACATGCCCGAGGCCCTGCGCTGCGACGCCTGCCACGCCATCGCCTTCCAGGTGGGCATCAGGGAGGCTGCACCCCAAAACCGGGGGTGAGAGTCCTCGTGGGGATGCTCTGGCTTGGGGACGTCCTGCTGGCTTCCCTGGGGCACCCCACTGATGGCTCTCCCCCCACCCCAGCACCCCAAAAAGGCCCTTTGGGGCCAGTGAGCCCCCTGGCATGGACCCACCACCCCATGGAAAAGTGCCGGGGCCTCAAGGAAGAGGATGTGGACCCGATCCCTGCTTGGGATCAGGGTCATGGTGGGGGGCTGCCACCCTCATTGTCCATTTTCTGCGCCCCCCCAGATCGAGGAGCAGCTGCGCAGGGCGGAGGGGAAGGCGGGCAGGAAGGCGCTGAGCGAGTCCGACTACGTGGAGGTGCTGGAGAGGAGCTGCTCGCAGGGCTGGGAGAGGTGAGTGGGGTGTCCCCGGGGATGGGGGGTGTCCCCGGGGATGGGGGGTGTCCCCAGGGATGGAGACGTCCCCAGAAACGGGGTTATCCCAAGGGATGGAGACATCTGCAGGGATGAAGGTGACCCTAGAGACTAGGGCTCTCCTGAGGGATAGAGGTGTCCCCAGGGATGGGGGTATCTCCAGGGGTTGGGGGCATCCCCAGGGATGAGGTGCCCCCATGGATTGGGGTGTCTCCAGGGATTAAGGTGTCCCCAGAGATGGGATGTGCCCCGAGGGAGAGGGGTGCACCGAGGAATGAAGGTCTTCCCCATGGAATGGGGGGTGTCCCAAGTGATGGGATTGTCCCCAGGGACGGAGGTGTCCCCAGGGATGGGGGTATCTCCAGGGGTTGGGGGCATCCCCAGGGATGAGGTGCCCCCATGGATTGGGGTGTCTCCAGGGATTAAGGTGTCCCCAGAGATGGGATGTGCCCTGAGGGATAGGGGTGCACCTAGGGATGAAGGTTTTCCCCATGGAATGGGGGGTGTCCCAAGGGATGGAGGTGTCCCCAGGAATGGAGGTGTCCCCAGGGATGAAGGTATCCTCACAGAGAGGGTTGTCCAAGGGATGGAGGTGTCCTCAGAATGGAGGTGTCCCCAGAGATAGGGAATGAAGGTGTCTCCATGGATAGGGGTGTCTCCAGGAATGGAGGTGCCCCCATGGACGGGGTTGTCTCCAGGGATTAAGGTGTCCTCAGAGATGGGATGTGCCCCGAGGGAGAGGGGTGCACCCAGGGATGAAGGTTTTCCCCGTGGAATGGGGGGTGTCCCAAGGGATGGGGGTGTCCCAAGGGATGGGAGTGTCCCCAGGGATGGAGGTGTCCCCAGGGATGAAGGTATCCCCACAGACAGAGTTGTCCCAAGGGATGGAAGTGTCCCTGGGATGGAGGTGTCCTCAGAGACAGGGAATGGAAGTGTCTCCATGGACAGGGGTGTCCCCAGAGGTGGGACTGTCCTGAGGGATGAAGGTATCCAGAGGGATTAGGGGTGGCTCCATGGATGGGGGGTGTCCCCAGGGACAGGGAGGTCCCCAACCCCAGCCTCTCCCCACAGCTATGGGGTGCAGGAGGTGGACGGGGAGAAGCGTCTGTCGGGGCCGGGGCTGCTGAGACAGGAGTCCATGACCGTGATGGTGACGGGGGGACCTTGGCCGAGCAGGTAAGTTGGGGATGTCAGCAACGCTGGGGGGGGGGTTCCGGGCACCGTCCCCCTCACCCCACAGCGGGGGGACGTGGCGTGACCCTCTCTGGCTTCTTGCAGGCTGTCCAAGATGTGCCACGGCTACGTGGGCGAGCAGGGGGAGGCGCAGATCTACGGGGCGCACCGGCGGGGCCCGGCCGCCCTGCGGGAGCTGCTGTGCCACGGGGAGAAGGGGGCCTGCGCCGGCGGCAAAGCCGGGGGGCCGGCTCCCCCCAAGGCCCTGCAGAACGAGCTGTAGCCCCGACGCGGTTAATGCTTAATGCCCCGGTGACCTTCGGAGCCGACTTCGTCCCCAGCCACAGCCCGCACGTGCTGGGAGGTGGGCACCTTCCCGGCGTCACCGGAGTCGCCGCTGTCCCTCGACGCCCAGCCCGGCCGTGGCGGGACGATGCTGGTGGCACCGCGTCGCCGGACCCCCCTCTCCAGCTGGGAATTGCTCTGTGACCCCCCCGCCCCCGGGCTCTAATGTTTGACCAAGGCGGTGCTCGCCGGAGGCAGCGCCCCGGCCCCCCCGGCGGTGCCAGCCCTAATTAAAGGAGTTAATAGCTGATCCGTCCCCGAGGCAGCGCTCCCCGGTTTCACAACCGGCAGCCAATGGCCGCCCTCCCGCCCGTCACCCCGCACCGCGGCACGGCCCGGGTGGTGACTAAAGTCCTTCCCACGGCCATAAAACCCCCTGTGCGGTGACACCGGTGCCGGGGACGCAGCGCCGGAGGATGGGGACCCGCTCGGGAGACCTGGCTCAGCCCCAGGTGAAGGCAGCCTCCATCCCTGTCCCCATCCCCATCCCCGTCCCTGTCCCCGTCCCCATCCCCATCCCCGTCCCCTCCTCGGCCGTATCCCCTGGCAGTGGGGAGGGAGGCGGGTGGCCAGGGGTCACCAACCCCAAGTGATGGGATGGGGTGGGCTTGGAGGACCAAGGGGACACGCCAAGATGCTGTAGCTGGGACTGGCTGTGCCATCCCTCCCGGTGCCTGCGGGGTGGTCTGGGCACCCCGGGGCCAGTGGGGACCCCCCCCACCCCTCCAACCTCCCCTGGGGATGAACCATCACGGAGGGACCAGCAGGTTTGGGGGCTCAGACCCCTCTCGGGGGTGGGGACCAGTGCTGGGTGGGACTGAGTGGCCACATGTGATGGCTTGGTGGCCAGTGCAACCCCAGGGCAGCCCCGTTCCTATGGGACACTGGGGACAACACTGACCCGGCCCCCCCCTCACTGCCAGAATGGGAACTCGGCTCTCGCCCCCATCGGGCCCCCACACCCCCCCGGGAAGGAGCCTCCTGCCGTGGGCAGGG